AATTATCAAGTATTTTAGTGTGGGCCTCTTTGGGTTCATCTTGTTTAAGATTCTGTGCTTCCTGAACTTGTATATCTATTTCCTTCAACATTTTTTGGAAGCTTTCTGGAATTATTTCTTCAAATAGGTTTTCAATTTCTTGCTCTATCACTCCTCTTTCTGGTGCTCCTATAATACAAATGTTGGTATGCTTGAACTTGTCCCAGAGTTTCCTTAAATTATCTTCATTTATTGGATTAATTCTTTTCTTTTTGCTATTCTGATTAGGTGTTTTCTGCTTCCTTGTCTTACAAAATGCTGATTTGTTCCTCTACTTCATCTAATAGTTAATGTATTCTTCATTTCAGTTAATGCATTTTTGTTTCATTTTTGTTTCATAAATTAATGCATTTTTGTTTCATTTTTGTTTCATAAATTGATTTTTATGATTTTTTTGCTTTATTTTTATTGTTGATACAATGACACATGTCACATTTACTATCCCTCCTTTACCCACCTCTACCTAGCCCCATCCACCCTTTTCTCTGGCCATCACCACACCATTATCTGTGTCTATGGATTATGCATATATGTTCTTTGGCTAATCCTTTCACCTTCTTTCATAAAGTCTCCTATCCCTTCTGACAGCTGTCAGTCTATTTCATGAATTCATATCTCTATTTCTATTTTGTTTGCCACTTTTTTCTGTTCATTAGATTCCACACATAAGTGAGATTGTATGGTACTTTCTATCTCTATTTTTGTTTCCTATCTCTTTATTGTTGTTCTATGACTATCAGTTCTTCCCCTAAGTTCATTGACCATTCTTAAAACCAGTGTTTTCAACTGTGCATCTGGTAGATTGCCTATCTCCATTTTGTTTAGTTCTTTTTCTGGAGTTTTGTTCTGTGTTTTAATTTGAGATATGTTTCTTTGTCTCTTCATTTTGGCTGCCTCCCTGTGTTTGTTTCTGTGTATTAGGTAGAGCTACTACATCCCCCAGTCTTGGCAGAGAGTAGCCTATGCAGTCCTGTGGAGCCAGTGACACAGTTATCTTGGTCACCTGAGCCAGGTGCATCAGGTGTGTCCTTTGTCTGGGTTGTGTGTACTCCTGTTGTAGCTGACCCTTGATTTCAGTTGGCATGTCAATTGGAGGGAATGTCCCTTAAGCTGATTGGCTGGAAGGACTGGTCACAACTACAGTGGAGAAGTGGTTATGCAAGAATTGACCATCCTGAGCAAGATTCACAGGACTCTAGTGCATGCTAATCCACTTTGGTGTGTCATTTGTAGAATTAGTTGGGTGGTATCTGTTGTGGTCTGAAGCTGCCCACTAAGTATATTGATTCTGAAGCATCCTGAGAAGGGCTCTGAGTGGTATGAGCTACAAAGTGATCTGCAGATAGTTACCACTTTTCATGGGCTTGAAGGTACCTAGTAGAGGGTAAGCTACTCACTGTGGTTGGCTGCTGCTCTCGACAGTCTTGGTGCTGCTTAGTAAGATGTATTGGGCATTCTGAGATATACCCTCCTTATCTGGGGTTTGTAAAACTTTGAGAGATGTTAAGAAAGCCCACAGCACAAACCAAAACAGGCCAGTTATATGGAAATACTACTGGGATCATTTTGGTGGGTTCTCAAGTTGGGTGAGGCAGGGTTTCAGGAAATCACCAAGGCAGGATGAACAGTGCCTGCCTTCTTCTACATGGTGGGGGAGTGAGGGCTTTAACAAAGGAACAATTGCTCTGATAGCACTTTTTTCTGGAAGAAACCTGACTCTCTAGCACTCACCCTAAAACCATGCAATAGAATTCAGTTTCTCCTCTGCATGTGCACTTTTTGAGCTGTTGCCATCAGCAAGTAAGTCTATGAGTGGGCCCTTCAAGAGGAAAGCCTGGGTCTCCAGAAGTCCTGTGTCTCAGACACAAACCTTGCTGGGTTTTACAGCCAAAAGTTATCTGGACTTTGTTTCCCCACACTGAAATGCTTAGGTAGAGAGTGTGGGGCAGGGCTCCTCAGGGGTTCCTCTACAGTGGAGATATCCCTCTGGATTTTTAATTGCCACATGGTGGTGTGGGACCAGCTCATTCCATGTCTCCACCCTTTCTATCAGTCTTGACATGGCTTCTTCTATATATCTAGTTATAGGACTTGTGTTCAGTTAGATTTCAGGAGATTATAAAGCATGGTTGTGTAGATTAGCTGTAATTTTCATGTGGTCCTGGAAGGAGGCGGGTAATTTTTACCTACTTCACCCACTTAACCCAAAATAAATAAATATGTTTTACCAGTACTGCTAGTGACTTTTAATATCTCAAACATGCCTGAAAACACTGGAAATTTCATTAATAGCTTTGGTAGCAAATGGGCCCACAGAAGATGCATCCTCTGGATATGTGCAATGTGGAACACAAAGAGGGGACAGAACATGAAAAGGCCAATTAAAGTACAAGGTGAGATGGCTCAAACATTCTCAAAGCATAGAAAAGCAGCAACAGGATTAAATTTACTTGTTCAAATATTAAGTATTTATATTATAGTAATTTTGTCCTGGCAATGAGAAGATGCCAGAAAGACAGAGCAGTCCTCTAACCAAGAAGGGAAGTCAGCAAGCACAAAGCAGGGTCAGGCCATCCAGCTGGGCATCTGCTCACACAATAGACATCCAGCTTGCTTTTGCTCATAGGGCTATTTTCCATTACTGTGTGAAACCAGACTAGCTTTAAATGTGGTCAAATATGAGCATGGATGAAACATAGGAGATACAAATAAAATAATACTACAGGTCAGGTGAGAGACTATAAAAATTCACTAACACTGCATGCTGAGACACATATATAGTTTTAAAATATTTCTTATGTGCAAAGTACCAGAATATAGGGAATATGAGTAGGCTATGTTTTCTTATATTGTGAACAGTTTTTCCTTTTTATTCATCCCCTTTCAAAATAATATTAATTCAAATGTGTTATTTCTCCATAAAGTATATTAAACTCTTTAAAAAACAACATGGGAGGCAAAAATATCTACTTAAGAAGAGAGAAAAATGTTTGAAATGCATCCAGATACATTTGTAATAAAAATATTTATGTGTTGTGATTGTAAAAGAAGGTGCTTTGGGAATTAAAATAGTCACCCTCAAATTGTTATTCTCCTTACAACTGTATTTCTCTTTTTCTTCATTTATATGTAAACTTTCTTGGGATTCTGTCAGGATTTACAGTATACCATATTTTAACACAATGGTGCAGTGAAAACATGTAGAGCTACATGTGGCACTGGGAAATTGTAAGTAGGTGATAAATGACCATCTCTTGGAGAGCAATAATGTAGCCATTATAGTTCTCACAGCATAATCTGTATAGTTTCCACTTCTAAAGTTTGCTCTCTGTCTCTGTTTAGTTTTTTTTTTTATATGGATTTCAAAATGAAAGGTTAAGAAACCAAGGAATCATAGGGTTCCAGGAAATATAAATGTTCATCAAGTTTAAAGTGTTGGGGAAAGGAGGAATAAATTCAGAGTTAAGGCAAAGCAATGGTAGGGAGAACAGATTGTTTTAGATCACCCACCCCTGTTTCAATTTTGTTAGATAATGTTATTTTCCTCTCTCTGTTTTTCATCAAGCTTCTCTATGGTAATGTAATAAGGAAAATGTATTACTATTAAAAAAGGCCTAGCTATGAAAATCCTTGAATATAACCCAGCATTTCTGGTGCACTAGAATGTGTTCTTGTTGCTTCCTACGAAACTATGTGATAGCATTTTCTGAGTTTCTTCAAATAATGATAATACAGTATTTAATTGATGAGGAAAAAGCTACCTGGGTACAGGTGGGTAGGGATTAGTTGAGGAAACCACAATCAATCTAATAGTAACCCATCCATGTATGGGCAATACTGTGACAAACACAGCACACTACATTTTCCATATTTAAAAGAATGTTTAGTAATAACAGCAAATGTAGACCCAATTGTCTGTAATCCTAACTGTCTCTGAACCTTGCCATAACCTTTGAGAACCCAGTCAAAGTAATCTAATAATAAGCTTTCTGCAACAATGCATCCATTCTTAATAGTCTACAGTTTTTACAACACAGATATATACTGAAAAATTCTTGCAATTTTAATATTACATTCAAATAGTATTTAATACCACAATATTCACAATACTCTAAGTGTTTGTATTTATTTAAACATAATAGATGACAATGAGTTTTATGATTCTCACTAACACTACATTGGAAATCTTTATACTGTCAGAAAATAAAAATTCAAATATACTCTAACAATTATTAGGATAAGAGCTTTAGCCATTTCCATCCACAGCTTTGGCAGCCACATTCTGATCTTTATAGCAAATACAGTTTGGATCCTCCCAAAAAGGACATTCATTCTAGCAACAACGTCATAGATGATATTTATCTTCACACTGGTGTCTTTCTTGACTCATGCTCCTTCTCTGAAATTATGTTTAATTTATTTTACAAGTTCACACTTTCCATCCTTTGTTCTAAATGAACAAATGAGGATGTGATAGTTCCCTAAGCTCTAGTGGTATGAAGCATTTTAACAAGCACTTTGCCAAGCACCTCTTTTAGATTATTGCATATCTACCCTTTATGCAGGATTTCAGCATTCACAGAAATGTGTGACACTAGTCCTCATCTTGGTAAGGAGTTACAGATGCCTTCCCATAAAATAAGCTTTTGAAAAGCTGATTAATATTGATCATTCCTCTGAATGATGCTCACTAAAGTAACAATCCAATGTAGCTGTTTAAATGAGTATGGTAGGAAGATATGTCCAAATACAGTCTGACTACTAAACATCACCATGCATTTGAAATGTTCTTACCCTAACCATACCAGGATATTTTTTTAAGTTTGCTATTTGTATTAGAACAGGTAAAGAAGCTTCATAAAACTTAATAATGAAGAAAATGACTCTCTTATAAAAATGTAAAGAAAGAGGTTTTTTTTTTCATTTATTCACAATGGTATATTGAAAAGTAATAATCTTACTTTAGTTTAAGTAGATCAATACTTTTCTTTTATCAGAAGTCACTTCTCTGGCAATCTCACCATTCTGGAGAGTCGTCTAGATACAGAAAACAAAAGAAAAAGTCTTGTGACATTTGAAATAGATGCAACACAACTTATACACTGAAATTTATTTATTTTATTCATAAGGGAGATATGCATCCCATTTACACTTACATCACCTACAATTTTACCACATTTCTTGTTAATTTCTAGGAGTAGCACAAAACATTGTGAATCATCAAGAGGCTAAATAAGATAATAAATATTCCCTAGATGAGTAATGTCATAAAATTAATTTCTGTAGAACACAGCTTGGGGAAATTGGTTTTAAAAGAAGTACAAAACAATATTTGATAATTTGCCTAAAATTGTATTTGTCAGTAGTTGGCATTGAGACCTAAACTACCAATATTTTAGCCTTTAGAATAATTCCAAGTTTAAATTATCAATAATATTTAAATGCCTTCCTTGTGAAGAATCATCTACTGATTTGATGCCAAGAAGTGATTACTATTTTTAATGAAACAGAGTTTTTAACTCAGATTTCCAAACATCAGAGTATTTTGCTACAAAGTAAAATGTGCTCTAATAAAATGACGACCTCAGTTAGATTTTCCAGTGGCAGCTAAAAACATACATGTAGCAGGGTGCTCTAACCATAGAGGTCAGTATTTGTGTTTAAGTTGTAAACTATGTAAAAACATGTTCCACCTTAAGTGAGTAGGGTTGAAATATTACTAGTGCTACTATAAGTATTTTTACAATAATGCCAAAAATTTTAATTATTTTCATAATATTTATGAAAAATAATAGATTAGTGATATTTCATTGCCTTTCTTACATTTCAGAATACATTTTATACAATTACTGTGCCAAGGCAAAGAGCTGATTTGTCAGAGTCAGCTCAGCATAATAAAGATAGGGAGAAATTGCATGCTTCAAGAAAACCACAGAGATTTGTAAAACAGTAAGTTTTAACTCTTCCCTGTGTCCAGTCCCTTCACAATTGGACTTCGGAAGTCATCCATTAAAAGTGCCTGCTTCCTATCACTTAAATCTATGCTGCACTTCGTCAGTAGCTTGCAACAGATGTAAAGATATTGCAGTACTGCAACTAAAGCTTTTATTAATTCTCACTTTACTTTATTTTTAAATTTATTTTTACTATGTTTTTTCCATTACCATATCTCTCCATTATACCCCAACCCCACCTACAATAACCATATGTCACCCAGGTTCACGGGTTCTTTTTCCTTTTTGCTTCATCCCCTCACCCCCTAACCACCTCCCAAAGCTGTCACCCTGCTCTTTCTCTATGATTCTATCTTTATTTTGCTTGTTAGTTCAGTTTGTTCATTAGATTACATATATGAGTGAAATCAGATGGTAGTTGTTCTACTCTGACTGGCTTATTTCATTTAGTATGCTCTCCAGGTACATCCATGCTATCACAAAGGGTAAAATTTTCTTTTTAAGGGTTGAGTATTATTCCATTGTGTAAATATCCCATAGCTGTTTTACCATTCATCTATTGATGGACACTTGGGTTGCTTTCATATCTTGGCAATTGTAAATAATGCTACAATGAACATGGGGGTGCATATAATCTTTTTAATTAGTGTGATATATTTCTTCAAATAAATTCCCAGAAGTGGAATCTCTGGGTCATAAGGCAGTTCTATGTTTAATTTTTTTGAGGTATATCCATACTGCTATCCACAATGGGTACACCTATCTGCATTCCCACCAATAGCACAAAAGGGTTCCCCTTTCTCCACATCCTCACTGATCCTTATTCTTTGTTGATTTATTGATTATAGCCATTCTGACACGTGTGAAGTGATATTTCATTGTGGTTTTAATTTGCATTTTTCTGATGATATTTGATGTTGAGCATCCTTTCATATGTCTACTGGCCATCTGTATGTTCTCTTTGGAAAATTGTCTAGTCAGGTTCTTTGCCCATTTTTTTTAACAGGATTTTATTTTTGGTGTTGAGTTTTATAAGTTTTTTATAAATTTTGGATATAAACCCCTTATCAGATGTATCAGCAAATATGTTCTCCCATTTAGTGTCTTTTTATGTCGTTGATGATTTCTACTACCCAATGCAATCTATATAGTCAACACAACTCCTATCAAAATACCAATGATTTATTTTACAAAACTAAAATAAATATTTCAAAAATGTATATGAAATCACAAAAGGCCCCACATAGCAAAAGTGGTCTTGAAAAAGCACAAAGTTGAAGGAATCATGCTACCTAACATCAAATCATAGTATAATTCCATAGTAATTAAAACAACATGGTACTGGCTTAAAATAAGACACATACATCAGTGGAACAGACTAGAGAACCCGGGAGTAAATCAACAACTTTATAGTCAACTAGTATTTGACATAGGAAGCAAGCACCACAATGGGTTAAATAACTTATTCAATAAATGGTATTGGGAAAATTGGACAGATACATGTCAAAAAATGAAACTAGGTTACTTTCTAACACTACAAATGAGAATAAATTCAAAATGGATTATAGAGTTAAATGTTAGACCTGAAACTATAAAAATCCTAGAAGAAAACATAGTAAAATCTCAGACATGTCTCATGACAGTATTTTATATTGATATAACTCCTTAGGCAAGGGAAACAAAAGAAAAAAATTAACAAATGAGACTACATCAAACTAAAAGGTTTTACACAGCAAAGGAAATCATCAACAAAATAAAATGCAACTAAACCTCTAATTCAGAACTTTTCCAGTAGAAATGACAAGTTCAGGGTAGTCTTTTAGATGATTGGCAAACATATGGAGGAGATACTAAGTGTTCCAAAAGAGGCCCTGAGCTTTTGAAAGTTTAGCAAAAGTGCTTGTCAGACCCACAGTCAACCACAGAAACATGCAAGCGGCAAGACAAGATTCTTAGCTGACACAAAGGTAATAAGCAGTAATAATGAGTTATTCAAGTTACTAAAATTTGCGATATTTTATTTTGCAGTAAATGCTAAAGGATACAGCCACAGACCTGGAAAATACATGCATGCAAGCTGTGTCTTTAATAGGTATTTTCCTGATTCTCTTATTTGTCTAAGTTATTCATATTGATTTTTAATTTAATTTAATTGTTTAATAATTTATTTTCATTGGATTTTCCATTCCATTCATCACCCTGATTATACACACACCAACTTCTTGTATTCAGAAAATATCTTTGTATACTTCTACTCATTAAACTGGATTATTGGATATCATTTATTTTCAGCTTCTATCACTGTCATGACAAAAATCCTGTATAAACTGTTGCAAAAATAAAAATCATGGACAATATCCTCCACTGTATCCACATAAATTTATCTCTGATTCCTTGGAATTAATGCAACAATCCAAAAACAGTTTGGTATTTCCTCAAAGTGTAAAATTAGTGTATGAGATATCTCCTATTTTATTCATTAATAAAGTTTCACAAATAGAGTATGCTTAAGTTGTTGAAATAAAATGCTAAACAAAGGAACATTATCTAAAAATAATGCATTATAATACCATTTTATAAATTTAAAACATAACAAAAATAAACTATATTCTTTAGACATACACACTTTACAAAAAGCAAGGGAAATACAAGGATTCTGGGAAGATAGAAGATTAGGAAGTACCAGGGATCTCTTTCCTCACTGAGACCATAATTGCACTGGCAGAATCTGTAACTATTTTTGAACCATGGAGTCTACTGAAGGCTTTCAACCTCCAGGGGAAGGCTTAGACAGTAAATTGCAGCTTACTGTGGCTCTTAATGCAGCCTTGTGTCAGGGAGCTGTTCATGTGTTTCTAGAGCAGCCTGTTCACAGCTTGCAGATTTTAAAGAGTAGGACATGCAAATATAATTGTATATGCAGTGAGAGTTAGAAAGCAATTGTGTGTGCCCAGGATGGAGGTGAGGCTCAGAAAAGACTTGAGATGATCATAAGTTTATACCTCAAACTAATCTTTGACACAGTGACAGCCCACAAATAAAAATTATAAAAATGAAACTAAGCAAAAACATTTGTTTTTTAAAGGCAAATCCGGAAGAAGAAAATATAATATCCAGGATTATTGCATTATTATATTCAAATGTCCAGTTTAAAAATGTCACAAAGAATACAAAGAAGAAAAAAATATGGCCTGTGTGAAGGGGGCTAGGAATCAAGGCAACTGTTCCTGACAAAAGACCTCATGGCAGTTCTACTGTTCAAAGACTTTAAAACAACCAATTGAATGATGTTCAAAGAACTAAAGGAAACAGAAATTCAGAAAAATGATGTATAGACTAAATGGAATCTTCAATAAGAGATAGTCTAAGAGGAACAAACAAAAAAACATGAAGCTGAAAAGTGCAATAAATTAAAAAAAAAATAGCAGAATCCAAAGAAATATTTGAGCAGGCAGAAAAAGAATCAGTAATTTTGAATACAGCACAATGGGCATTACTGAGTCCAAAGTAGAGAAAAACAAAGATTGAAGAATAGGTAAGTCTAAGGGACTTATAGTGTATTATCTGTAAAACCATATAAGCATGTGGTAGTTCCAGAAGGAGAAGAGAAATAGGAAGAGAAAATATTTAAAGAAATAATGACTTCCCAAGTTAATAAAAGAAAGTAACATACACATACAACAAGTTCAGCAAACTCTAAGAAAAATGAAATAAAAAAGATATACACTGAGACAGATTTTATTCAAACTAATAAAAGCCAAAGAGAGAATCTTGAAAGCAGCAAGAAAATGTTGACACATAGTATACAAAAGATCCTCATTAAGAATAGAAGGAGACTACTCATCAGAAACTTTGGAGGATAGAAAGCAATAGGCAATATATTTAAAGTGCTAAAAGAAAAAAAATGCAAACAAACAAAACTCTTAACCAAAATCTAATAGCAGGCAAAACTGTCCTTCAAAGGTGAGTGGAAAATTAAGACATTCATATAGAAACAAAAGCTAAGTAAATTTATTACCACTAGATCTGACCTGCACAAATTACTCAAAGGAGTTCTGCAAAGTAAAATGAAAGGACATTAGC